AAGTTGCTACAATTTAAAATCAGAGTAAAATTTCTGCTAGAGAAGTTGGTCACGGCAAAATAATTTAAAAAACATAAACGTCATTGTAGAACTAATAAATTTATCAGTTTGCTCAGATTCTAAAAACGAATAAGGTTGATGGCAAAGATATTTTGACTTCGATGCCTAGTTATTGTTTTTTTTTTTTTTTTTTTTAATTGATCACCACCCCCCAGAAGAAAATCGTAAACACGCTGCTGTTTCCCCAAACAAAATAACCTAAAAGAAGATGATGAATTAATTGAATTTAAAATGACAGCGAATCAAAAAATAGTTTTTATAGTTAAATTTTATTTTAAGTTTTTTTATTATTCAAGCTCTGTACTAATAAAATGGAATGTCTTTGACTATAGGTAAGCTAAACCAAATTAATTTTGCTACTCAATTTTGAACTCTAAATATAATTAATATTTTAGCAGTAATTGTAACGTTGTTCAATTTTCTAGCTACTGCATACTTTTTTCTTATATTTAGGGATAATTAGACATTTATGTATACAATTATAAGATTTTAGACATAATGATTTTATTTTTTATTTTACTCTGATTATATGATGTCTGTTTTGTGTTGTATCTGTTAACTACTTTTCTATCAAAAATCATGATCTAATCATCAACTTCAAGGCGAAAATATTGTCTAGTTGGGACATTGAGAGACTATTTGTTTGGTTTACTTTATAATTTTCTTAAAAATAGAGGAAACAAAACTTGGAATATCGGGAATATTTATAAAACGATAATTTATATTGAAATCTCTTTTGCATTTTCGTATAAATCTGAAATGTTTAACTAACTATCGCAGTTTTTAGATGTGGTATAATTTTCTAAATGTTATGACGATTTTTAAGTTGTTAAATCGAGCCTTTTGGAATCATACTTTTGTTTTGGTTTTTATGGACAACTTCGTGTTTTCAGCATTGTATATTATAAATGTTCGGAAATTTGCTCCGTTAGTATGCATTATATTTGTCTCTTAATTATATTTGAAAAAAATGTTTTAGAGCTACTCATATATAATATCCGGACTTTATTAACAACGTAACATTATAGTAAAAACGTATTATATTCCACTCACATTATGTCCATGCACGTATATATGTAGGTATATTATATTATGGTCCTCCACCACTGCAATAGTCCGTATATACAACGATATGATAAAAATTTTAGTATGTAACTCATCTAAATCACATCCCCATTCCCCTACCCCTCCCCTCTTTTCCTAAAAATACACACACTGCATCGGTACGATTACGTACGAACATATTATAATTAATATTATAACGCAGTCTGTATACTAATCTATACATGTTTATTATTCGTCCGCCAAGCAAAATAATTGATGGTACTCGTGGGTTTTTTGTCGTTGGTATTAAATTAGCGATATAAAATCGCGGTGGCTGCCGCTACTCCCATCGCCGCTGACGGTCCTATAGCGGATAAAAAATATGTAAATATTATTGTGAGAGATCCTCCCCCTCACACTCCTCGGTAGCAGTGTAATAAAATTTGCGAACAAACAAACTTAATGCACTCGCATGAAATAAAAACGTAATAATAATAATTATTATTATTACAACATTCTTTTGCTATGTTATATTATTATTATGGTATTCGCTGGGCCGTTGTATTTTCTATTTAATTATATGAACACATATTGTTGTTTGGGTCACAATATATTATATATTTTGTAATTTGCATTTTGAACCTATTTATATATAGGCAACAAAACGACTATAATGTAACTGCAGTAAGTATACGCTAATAATAGTTTATTTTGAGCTATTTACACCTGGTTAGGTATTTGGTATTCATATAATTAGATATTAAACCTACGTAATTATGAAGATAGGCCTATTAATCCCTGCAGTTTCCAATCAAAAGCAGGAAAAGGAATGACATATGGATAGGTAATATCAGAGATAATATTTTAAAATAAGTATCCAAATTTATTGCTACTAGATACTTATTACTTACGTAACAAGTGCTATAATACGAGATACTCGATACTTACATTGTACCTGCCTTAATACTAGACACCCAATAAATTCAAATTAAAATATTATTTCAATTTACACTTATGCAGTATCTATAATTACGTATAAACGATGCGTTGGTTATTAATTTGAATACATTTTTTGAAATTCTTAACAGTTCTTTCCACCATGTTCATACAATTATTTTAAATTTTTAAGGTAGTTTTTTTTTAAGGTATTAGGGGGAAAATGACTTATCTTGACTGTATTTGAAAAAAACTTCAAAATAAATATTAAGATACTCAATACATTGAATTCAGTATCGCAATATTTCCGATACTTTCGAGAACTACATAGTAGAAGAAATAATAGATTAGAAATAAATGTACTTAAGGTAAATGTAACGAAGATACTGCCCAACACTGGACACTTAAACTCTATGAGTGACTACAGTTATTGTATACATATTAAAAATATTACAAATATTGAAATATGTGGATACAAATATTATGTTGGTATATGCAAGTGAGAACTCACCCAAAAGCATATCAATACTGATTTAAAAATACGGATGAAGAAAAAATTGCAAAGGTTGTGCGATAATTAAAATTTTGAACTTTAAAAAGATTTAAGTTACAAATACTATATGAGATTCAGAGTAGAACGAAGGATCTTATGCATTACTATGATGAGTGTTTATTTTTGTTTAGATTCTGAGTGGAGCAAGGAATGTATTGATTTTACAATGATGTTTTTTTTTTCTTCTGTAAACAAATTTTCTTCTAGTTATATTGCTTTAATTTTCAAGTATAGCACCTTTTCTGAAATTAAATTGTCGTTACTTTAAGGAGATCATATGATATCATATCATTTGATTTCCCAAGGGGTTTTCATATTAAATGAAAAATAACCGGAGAAAAACGTAGGAACAACGGGAAAATGTAGGAAACGTATTATTGTTTAATCGTAAATATTACGGCCTTCAAAACATGTATAACAAAACTCCGCTCATAATTATTTTTCGTTAGCTATGGTTAATCGTTAGGCACAGATAAAAATTTAATTTCCCCCCTACATTCCCAATTTCTTACCAACAACAATGGTTCACCCATCGTGCGAAGTATGGCAGTTTTTTCTTTCATTGTTTATATTATACATATATTACGGACTTTCAAAATACATAAGTATACGTAAGTACATGACCGAACTATGTTTCGAATCGTATTTCGTTAACATTGGTTAATTGCTGTTTACAGATATAAATTAAATTATTTTTTTTATCATACTTTCCTCCTTACCATAACTTCCCACCTACACACAACGACATACCCATATCAGTTTTTTTTTTTAAATATTGACTTAAATAGTATTTTTTTTTTTTACATAAATTTGTATGTATAATACAAATTTTAAAATAACATATTTTAAACCAAAAGTTTAACAGTTTGTTTACAGTAGGATACAGTGATAGATTTACAAGGGGGTGAGCCCTTTTCTCTCAGACACTAATACAATTTCAATGAAATGTCATCTAAAATAGAAGCCTCTATTAATAGATACATTTAAAATACATATAATTTTCCAAGTCTCCTCCCAGAAAAAAGTTGAAAATCCGCCACTGGTAAGATATTATCATTATTTTTCGAGTTGTTTGTATTGTGTGAAAAATAAATCGATGGAAACTAAAAGTGTACTCATTCTCACTATTCGTATTACAATAAACCTAATACAATTATCGAATCATTGGTTTAATATTTTTGGAGCGTTATAATTTGTATTTTGTTTGTATGTTACATTAAGGACGGAAGTTTGATTATTAAATACGATATTTAGTGTTTTAGCTGTAAAATGAAAATATGGCATTTCTTCATAAAATTCTGTGGTATGACGAATTCACTCGCATAAATCGTACGAATACTCCAGTAACTACGAGAATATTATATAGACATTCTGAAGACGTATTTTTAATTTGACGGGTGGCAGAAATGAATTATTATTATCGCATATCAACACGTTATCGTTAGTCATATGCCAAAATGACTCTCGTAATCGAAATTATTTTAGGTACCAAACCGAAACCCGTTTCATCCACGAATTATAAATCGAATTCAAAACTATTAGCAAAACCTATACTCAATATATTATTATTACAGTCGTCTTAGGTTGCGTTTGAATAATGGATATTATTAGCTTTTATCGGAACTTACTATGCTTAGGTTATCGACACAGGACGAAGAAAACCTAACTATTGTTTATATCGAGGGTTCTTAACCGGTGGTCCATGGACTCCTAGGGGGTCCGTAGAGGGTAACTCGGGGGTCCACAAAATGGATGTGAGATTTTTAAAATTAGCTAAAAATAAATTTGTTTCAAATTATTCGATGAATCAAAATTGTCCGTTAAGATAAAAAAATGTTATGTATATAATGTAAACTTTTATTGTGATCATTGTATTCATTACTTCATTAGGTATATTTATTAATTACGTAAACTTGAGTGGTTGTTTATATTATTTTGGTAAAATATTCGATAACGTTATTGCCTATTTCTATTAGATAAAAATGAAATCTGTTCACTCGGTCATTCAAAACCAGTCATTATTAAGTGCTCATACAATATCATATCTAGATTACGTTATTTATGATTATTGTGACAATACAATTTACAAATTTTAACTGAAAACGAAAACTTATCTCTCAATTCTCACTGTACTTACTGTGTTTGTAGTTGACCCGTTGCCGTCACGCTGCACATAGTGTCGTTAAACTATTTCGACCGTTACCGCGTTTGATTATTTGCTCGTCATAATTACTTCAGTTTACGTATTGCTTTATTTTTATTTTGTTGAAAATTAATTATGCCAATGTCAAAGAAAAGAAAATATGATAACTCATAAATATTGTACGGTTTTACATTTATTACTGAACGGGATGGTACATAAAAACCACAATGTTTTATTTGCAGAAAAATTCTCGCAAATGGAAGCATGAAACCAGTAAAACTCAAAGAACATCTTGTTTCGTTACATCCTCAACATGCATCAGATAATTTGGAAGTCTTTCAAACAAAAAAGGCGCGTTTTGAAAAAGGTGGTACATTAACCAAACTTGGATTTGTACCTCCACAAAAACCATGTCTCGAAGCATCTTACAAGGTAGCGTGCCGCATTGCTAAAAATAAGAAACCACATACTATCGGAGAATCATTAATAAAACCACGTGCATTAGAAATGGTAGAATTGGTTTGTGGTTTAGAACAACGAAAAAAAATTGAAGCTGTACCATTGTCAAATGACACTATTCACTCCAGGATCTCTGATATGTCCAATACTATTTTAGAGCAAGTAACTTCAGAATTAAATTCTACCCCTTTTCCATTTAGTATGCAACTGGATGAAAATATTGACATTTCTCAATGCAGCCAGTTATTAGTTTTTGTGCGTTATATGTGTTCTGGGACTAGTAAAGACGAATTCCTATTTTGCCAACCACTTTTGGAAAGTACATAGACAATCGATGTTTTTGAAATAATCACCAATTTTTTTTCAAAACATAAAATAAATTATAAGAAAAATCTCGGTTCGCTGTGCACCGATAGTGCTCCTGTGATGCTTGGTAAATCATCTGGTTTCACAGCTTTGATAAAGAAAGAAATTCCTGACATTATTATTCATTGCGTTCTTCATCGGCACGCTTTGGCATCTAAAACTTTACCAACGGATCTAAAAGAGATAATGACAATTACAGTTAAAATTGTGAATTTTATCAGAGCTAGAGCATTAAATCACCGACTTTTCAAAGTTTTATGTCAAAAAATGGGAGCTGAACATAAAGTTCTTCTCTATCACACAGAAGTACGTTGGCTTTCCAGAGGACAAGTTGTGAAACGCGTGTATGAACTTCGAGAAGAAATTTCTTTTTTTTTAGTTGAAAGGCAAAGCTCACTTGTAAAACATTTCAATAATATTGAGTTCATTCATGGATTGACATATTTAACAGATATTTTCAATCATTTGAACGAAGTAAATACATCGATTCAAGGACGAGAAGTCATAATTATGGACGCATCCGAAAAAATGAATGCATTTGTAAGTAAAATTCCCTTGTGGAAAAGAAGATTACAGTCAGAAAACTTAGCAAACTTTCCAACACTTGACCACGAACTTTCACAAAATAATATTGTTTTATCTGGTTCTATACGTACACAAATTTGTGAACACCTTGACGTTCTTGAAAATTCATTTGGTGATTATTTCAGTTCTNAAAGATGAGTTAATTGATTTAAGATCAAAAGAAATGACACGGCAAGATTTTCGAACAAAAAATTTAATCGAATTTTGGTGTTTATTGACAAAGGCTTATCCGCTGGCTGTATCCAGGGCAGTGAAATTTTTGATTCCATTTGCCACTACATATCTCTGTGAGTCGGGATTTCCTTCAATGGTTACAATCAAAACAAAATCACGAAACTGATTGGTTATTAAAAATGATATGCGTATTGCTCTGTTTAAAACAGTCCCGGATTTCAAAGCGATAATACAATCGAAACAACTTTTGAAAGAAGTCCATAACCAAAAAATGGTTAAGAACATATGGTTTAGATGTATAATTTCAATTTTTCCTGGAATTAATAAAAACTCACTAAACATTTTTATATTTTACAACACTATACGTTAATATTAAAAAACTGGTGCAACTTAAAAATTGCCCGAACATTAAAATATTTCGCAATATTTCTGATATAAAACAATCAAATTTATAACACAAATTGGGAAAATTGACCATGTTTGATCTGAAATCCATAATTTATAATTTGAATTTCCCTCTAAATATATTGTGTAAAATTAAAAACATTCGAATGCCTTTTGAAACAACTTTGAGAGCTTATATTCGTATATCACGATTTAATTGAGGTTATTTTGTCCATAGGCTATTTGAATATAGAATATTTCAAATGAGTGTGACTGAAATAACTAAACTATTTATATTTACTGAATAAAAAAAATTAATATTTAACTTGCACCACAGAAATTTAATTAAATTGACTATATTGTTTGGGCGTAGCAGAAATGACAATGTTTAGGTGACGCGAGAAATAGATGGGGTAAGTACATAAGAGGTAGCTTAGGCATAGCTTCGATAGTAGAAAAAATGAGAAAATAGAATAAGATGATTTGAGACGTTATGGGGAGAGAGAAAACTGAAGTAATAAGCATTGTAGTGAAAAAAATGCAGAAGAAAATACGATGAGAAGGAGACTGAAAAATAGATAGTTGGATTGAAATTGAGGATGATATGAAGAAAACCGATGTATGTAAGGTAGGAAATCTATTTAAATGGAAGTTTGGAATGAGGGTAGCAAACTCTAAATAGTCGGGATGAAGGAAAAAGAAGAAGAAAGAAAAGATGAAGTTCTATGACTTGGCCAGTTAAGTACAAAAATTATTGAATTACTAGCGCTGTTGGTTGGATCGATATGTCAATAGAACTTACATTATTACTACTTCTTATGATAATATTATAGTATAAGAAGTAGATGATTAATATATTAATCATGTAATCCCAGACATATTTTAGTGCATATTCGGAATTCCCATTTAAACCAAGGCCATCGCATTGTTTTACTCACACAACAAAATCATTAATTATAACGAACCCAACAATAATCATAATCATAATAATAATAATAAAACCGATCCCATTCAATTTCAGTAGCGAATACAGTGCCATTCACAATAGGGTTCTGGGGTAGCAGCTTCTAAAACAAAATTTTAGCCGGATAGTGGTAGTAGCCTAAAATACTTAAACATTATGTTAGAAATTGTAAAGAAATTAATTGTATGAATTATAAAATATATGTAAGCTGCCTAATGATAATTTGGTTCGAATTGGAGCGATTTGTTATAGGTATACTATAAACTATAAAACCATTCAACTTGCTATCCCAATTTGATTTTAAGTGTGATGTGCCACTGAACATATACTTACTTCTTTAGCGTAAAAACGAAAATATCCACAAAAACTTTTGTATGGTGGGCTAAAATGACGTGAATTTATCCCGGTACCCCCTCTCTTATATTCGCTTTTGTCCCTCTTTTATTCAATATTTGTTTACGCTTTCAACGATAAAAAAAACAACACCGCCATGTCGTCGCTGTAAATAAAATCGTATTATTTTCATCCGATGTAATAATGGTTTTTTTTCTTTGATAATCGCGTGTGTATAATACAGATTATAAGAAAATTTACGACTATCGTTGTTTTATTACGTTTTAACGTGACGCGTGCAGCGTATGCACTGTAATACGTAATGTTTTAATGATATTATAATATACGCATATGAAACTACAGAGCCACATATTCAAATGATCAGATCGGATGTAAATGTAAATTATCGTTTAAAATGAAGAACATAAAAAAAACGAATAAAAATGTAACGACTAGTATATACGTTTGAATTAATGCGTATGTGTATAATTAAAATGACGGAAAGTGAATGGGAAATATCTAAATCACTCGCAGCTGTAATCGGTTCGAATCCGGGGTGTGCGTTATATTTTGCTCGGTTTATCGTAAGCTGGTTGTTCCGAACACAACCCCACTGTGTTATACGTATATAATACAAGTTGACCCACCATCGGATTATTTATCACCATATTATTTAAAATAATATATCGAAATAGTGGTTTAAAATAAATTTGACTTCTCGTTTTTATAATATAATTATACTCGTAAGGGAAAGTGGGGTAGAAAGGGTAGTTAAAGTATAAGAATCTATAATTTATTGAAAAATTGTGATTTTTATTTAAAATTTTAACCATTTACTTTATAGGATCTAGTTCCCAATGTTTTTTAAAAATTCACATAAGTCTCATAAAGTTAAAGACTAAAATACTTTTAAGTAAAATTTATCCCAGTTCGCCTTATCTTAAGATAACTGATATTCGAATATGACATTTTGATTGCGTGATATCTTAATACTAAGAATCCTATACATAGAGTTTTTAAATTTAGTAAGATCAGTTAATACATAATTATTAAAATGATCCTTTTTTGCCTCATAATCTCGTTCTGCTCTATTTCTTCTACCTACAATAAGATACCTACCTATAATAAGATATTTTCTACGGATTTTTCCGTTTGTAGAGTTTATTTGTGTCCCTTGAGCGGCCACCCAATATCTAGCTCTACCTAATATTATACTGATACCTATTTTATATTTTAATGCGTTAACGGCCAGTTCAAGACTATAGTCGGTCAATAAATGAATTCCACGAGATCAGGTCAATAGTATAATTGGATCGAATTACATTTGCGGGTTAGTCGGTCGTATTCGAATTACATATCGCCGGAATGTGATTCGATAACGAAATATAATCTCAAATGACACGATGAATACAATTACATCCGACACCACCGGTGCAACGTAGTTTTCCCGTCATTATCTATATTTTACCCATAGTGCAATTCCGCGATAACACCATCTAATTTCTAACTCTAATGCAATGCAATTGGATATTATAATGATTTTCCGTTAACAATTGCAATACGACCTTAAATCGTTCCGTTGTCGCTGCGTTCTACGCGTTCAATCGAATTTTGTCCGTAACCTATAAACATATTAAATGTTCTTCACAATATTAATCCGTTGCCGGACAATATAACATTATTAAATAATAATTTATTTCGTTTCACTGCAGATTTGTTAGTCGAATTGTATAGTGGTTCTTAGCTTTTTCAATGTGTTGACCCCCAAATGAGTGTTCATTTATTAAATGGCATTTACATATATATTTAATATACATGTATAAAATACCATTCAAAATAATTAACATAGTAACACGATATTTATGAAACTTAAATCACTGATCTTACAGTATTTAACCATAAAAACCTGTTTGTTTATTTCGCCATATATTTAAGAGGTTCGTTTAACAATTTCCCCGCCTATTTGAATTAACCAACGGATAATATCGTGGAGCAGTAGGCTTAGTATCTCTGGTTTTAGTGGCTTCTTCTGAGCATATCCGATTTTTAAAATTCTTTATAACCTTCTTCGTTTTGATATAGGTATATACCTAATATATTAGAGAAATTTGTTTTTCATATTTACCTATTTTGTTATGAATATAAAATAAGAGCTTTTTTGGGAGGTGAGGGTTTGGAGATAATTTTTTCTTCTATTTTAATAACGGCATCTTAGTTGGTAGACAAATTAAATATTTTGCATCGTTTATATTAACAATTTTTAACTGAAAATCTACAAATTCACCGAGTCGCAGCAAAGTCTGTTCCAAAAACTTTAATGATCAAAAAGAAATTTAAGATCAAGTTTGTCAAGAACTTTTTACTATGGTGATGAAGATAAATATTTTCGGAATTTATATTATAATAATAATTACTATCTTCTAATCATCAAAATGTAAGAAAAATTATCTCTATTCCCTCCAATTACCTCGTCAAGTTCCTTTTCTTTTTGATTCATTACAAATCGCAAAACATAAAAACCACAATTTTACAAAAACACCAGTTATACAAAAACGAAGATAGCTATAGAGACGTATGTACGAGACTTCGCTGGCGCTCGATTCAAACAGTTTAGGAACACACCTCGTATACATAACAAATCGTCAAATATATATAATCATTCTTAAATCAAGATTCTTAACGTCTGTTATTGTTGTTAAGATTTATCATTAATATTGAATAATGTCATTAATTTTTATAGTTTGGCAATCTAGCACCTAAGAACGTGGTGACCTCCAGGTTGAGAAACATTGAAATATTATGTGCGGTTTATTGGTAAAATCGAATAGGAGTTTATAACCACAACGAAGGCAAGATACTATACGTGCCAGAGAAACAGACACATTCAAATTTTATAACATTATTTTTTTACAACATTTTTCGAACATTATAGTGATAAACATACGATAAAAATAGAAAGTTAACAATTTATATAATGCTTTAATAATTTTTCATGGACAAAATATATTTTTTTTTTTATTTAGTCGTTGATAAAAATGTACACACACTCATTCATTTATTACACTCGCACGCATATTATCGAGATTTCACATATCTCTCTCTCTCTCTCTCTCTCTCTCTATTTCTCCCTCTCCGTAAGCGAGCCATTCTTTGTTTTATATATATATTTATACGACGGGTTTTCCCCAGCAGCTGCTGTCGTTGTAATAATAATATGCTTGCCCGTGTTATTAATTTTTTTTCTCCCATTTATTTTCCAAAACGGTTTTAGCAGTCATAATTCAACCGTCCGGACCCGCTACTGCCGCCGCCGCCGGCGATCCTTCCTCACGGAGACTCAGCTTCTTGCACCCATAACTCATCGGTTTCCGCAAGCCCGAAACAGTCGATAACGATAAATCCCTCTCGGCTCTTACAGCAGTATTGTTTGAACGAT